CCCCAAAACCCCAAAACCCCAAAACCCCGTACGATACATCTAGATTTGAAATATCTCATAAGAAATCATATTATGGTGAACATCAAGTGATATTCTTAACTTGCTTTATATTTTCTGAAATTTAATATTGAGCACTTTATAGATAATTTTGGCTCCTTCAAGGAAAATTGGGAATTAAAAATATACATATCTCGAGATTTTGTTAGAAAACTGAAATTCTCGTGGTAAATATTTTTATCTGAAATAATAACTATATTTTTAGTTAATGATTGTGAAGAGAGCCTAAATAATAAAATTAGCCAAAAAGTCCTACTATTGTTTTAGATATCATTTTTACTTCTTTTCGAATTAGAAATTTTTTCTAAGATTTCTAATATTATTTCAAGTAAAAAGGTTTACATTATGAATCTCACCACATGGAATGAAAACATAGTCGTCATAGATGGATCCTCTAATTACCTGCTTCATATAATATAGACTTTAGTGAAATATGATCATCCAAGTCTAAAATATGGCTAAGATGATTTACATCTCATTTGACAACCTCATTGACAAAAAATAAGAAATTTCATATTTTATAAGAATGTGGCTGAGATGAAAAATTGTTAAGTCTCTGAGCATTCTTAACCTTCCATGAGACTCTTAAGTCAACAGGCTGGCTTAATTCAATAAAATTCATTCTCCACGGTTATTTTGCAAACTAACCAAGGGCTAAAGTAGGTGAATTTAATGTGAGTAATTCTTCTTGCAAATTATATGGCTCAGCTAGCTCTTAATTAAATTTATAATGAAACAATAGAATTTGGTAACTAGTTGAATTCAGTCAAAGTTAAAATTTTGTATCTATATCGAAATAACTTTGTTTGTTAAGTTTATTGTAAGACCGTAATAACACAATTTTGGAAAAAAAGAAATAGGTGATTGTTATAATATTAACCAATTAGTAAATCGAAGTCAATTTTATTAAAATTTAAGACTTCTACTATCCTAACTCCTTGTGCATAGACATAATTTTATGATTTGAATTAGATTACCATAAAAGATTTCTAAGCTTTATGAGACTAATTCTCTAGAATTTTTAAAAATGACTAAAATACTCATATCCATGAGCGTCGAAAGCTAGATAAATCAGAAAGAGTCAATAGACTAAGATGTCTTTCTTTAAAATTTATGTTAAAAAATTAAGTATAAATGACAATACTTGCATGGAAAAGAAAGTGGTAATTCGAAAAATTTTCCAATCGAATGCCTAATAGAATTTCTAAGGCATTGCTGTACAAAAATGATGTTGGCTATTCTTAATTGACAGCATTCTAATCCTTTAAGAGTTAGAGCAATTCAGATAGAATAGTGTATCCTAATAACAATATTTCCCAGCTCACACTTGTTTCATATTAAAGCATTATCAGACCCTATTTCTATTAAAGAGACACAATTTCACAGAATGTGTTAGTGATCGCTTATTATTGATTATCGTGATTTCCGAAAGTGATTAGTTTGCCTTCTCATCAAACTTCTTCTTCAACCTTCTGTACAGGCTCTGGAGCTTGCCTTGTTTTCTGGGCTTTCACAAGCAAGCTTCTGTTCCTGAGCTGAGCCGACTTGTGAAGCAAAGTCCTGATTTCGTCTCTGAGAGACATCTTCCGAGGATACACAGAGCTGAGTCCTGCCTTATCTTCTTGACATTGCAGCTCCAGATGTGGAACTTTTGCAAGAGAGATTTGTGTTTGGTAAAATAATAATTCTTCTTTGGCGCCCCTAAAATACCTTGAGCTTTAAGAGTTTTAGGAGCTCACACATTGTCTGAATGATCTTTAAGCTTGCTGCCAAACCTGGATGGGTTGAATGGAGTCATGTCCATGTTGATGCCCAGTCTTTTTGAGACCTTGACTTGACAAGTCGAAGAGCCTTCACTTAGAATGTCTTCAGACAAGTTCTCATCAAGTTGATTATAAATGCTGTTGTTCATCTTTATGTAAATTATATAATAAATGAATTTTTCTCTTTAAGTTTCTAGCAACGAGCTACAAACCGGGGTTTTGGGGTTTTGGGGTTTTGGGGTTTTGGGGTTTTGGGG